TCTCAAATTTGGCACGTTTTTGTCGACCCTCTTAAGCATTGTTTTCGCTGGCAGTTTTCTTTTCTCACGAACTTCTTTCAGTCTCATAGAGAGACCTTTCTGCAAAAATTGTACATTAAACTGCCATATTGTTACGCAAAAAGCAACGTCTATTTTCACTTCTGTTCAAATGGAGTTTTGAACAATTAAAATAAAATACCATAACAGATGATCAAGAACATATTAAGTCATACCGCACAGAACTTACCGGAGCAATAGCTGATTCACTGAATATGATGTATATGAAACGATTTACGAACACCTTCAGTAACAATTTTGAATCAGAGTGTAGTCCTAAAGAGATATCACTGTGGTGACCTCCATAACACAGACACCACTCTAATACAGGCACTTTCGCCTGTCCTTACAGTCAGGTCAAGCTACGTCTATTGAAAGAATGCAATTCAATTTTAAGTTTTAAAAGTTTCAACTTTCCGAATTTTAAATGCGGATGCAAAGTTAGCCCGGTTGACACACCCACACACACACGCTAACCAATGTGATAGTTCTCAGTAATAAGTCATAACAGATAGTAAAACGGCTCGTACATTCTGAAAAGCCAGAGGTTTTAAGTACATTCAATACGGCTTGAAGCTTTTCGATTCAAAATCTCTTGTTGTTGTTATTGATGAATTAACTGAACCGAGAACGTTTCGGTGTCGTCACTTAAATCCATCCAACCAGGTAAAGAATACCATTAACGCGTAAAAATGTAAGAAATCATCGCATAATGATCCCATTTACGTGAGCGTAAAGTACCGTAAATACTGATGTAGAGCTTACATGAACGCATTATTTCATCCACAGCTCTAGACTCGACTTGGATTTGCTTGGATTTGGAAATGCCTCAACGAGCTGACCCGGCAGAGCGAGCGATGGCAGAATTAGGTTGAATTAGTCGACTCTACTGCCTTACAATAAACTTTGCGTTGCATTATTTTAATAAAAGAAGTTGCACGTACCTGTTGTAAAGCAAAAGGCTCACCGAAAGTAAGTGTAAGAACCTTTTTGAGCAGGCTTCACCGTCAGCAGTTCCGCTTTGTGCCTTACCTTGTGCCTTGTTGAGCGGTTGGCCGAGAGGGCTTGGTCCACTAAATTCCAGTTCTCACTCCTTAATTTCTACTTCCGTCTCAGTGCAAGTCTCAGTGGTTTCCAGTCCTCGTTCCTACTTATGATTCACATCCGCAACGGTCCGAATACCTGTTCACACTACGATATGTGACGCTCCACTTTCCGCTCCAGTTACTGAGTGAATCGCACCGAAATCAGAGTTGTTTTGTGTGAACTAGAGAGAATAAGCTGTCTCAGTCTCTCTTGGTGTGAATAGAAGCCCTATCCGGTATGGTATGGGAAGGTCCATAATAATAACCTATAGCTGCTGACCTCATTATAAGAGGCCTTTCTCAGTACTACGTTGAAAAAAAAAAGTGTGCCAATCTATATTTTAGAGAGCCGACTCGGTGAAACTCAGAGCTACTTCTCCCGCCAAATACGGCTGCTTTGCATTCACTGCAATACAAAATTCCTGCTTCACTACGTCACAAAATCTCAGAAATTATCTCGCAAAAAATTCACGGTATCTCTAACAGCTTTATGGTCTTTAACATACACGTAATAGTTTTATAAATTGGTACACTGGAACCTGGTTTCTACGGACACCAAGGTGACAGGCCAGTGTCTGTAGTATTATTAAGGCAGGCTCTCAGAAAAAAACGTCAGGGTTACGTGCTTTATCGATGTGAAGACTAAGACAGACATCTTTAGGCAAAAGGGCTATTTAATTTCTTAACCGTAACTGTAACATGTTTATGCTAAAGAAATCTCACAATCATTTATCAAAGTCTACTATAGTCCATCACCTTTTAAGAATTTAGCGAGGCGTGATCTTAGAAAAAATATGTGGCCTTTTTATCAGGAAAGACGAAACTGTCCGTAATAAATGTGTGTCGATACAGCGGGGTTCCACTGCATATATTGCACTCTGCTACGGTAAAAATAGAAATACACAACAAGAAATACACACAGAAATCCAAAACAAAAGCAAATACTGCGGATTTCGTGGCAATTAATCACGTATTTATAACCATGTGCTTACCAAATAAATCCTGATGAAATGATCCGTTGAATCGAATGACAACATGTAAATTGGATCGTTTTGTTTAGATCTACAACCGAGGCAGAGAGTATTGTAACTTGTAAACATATCTATTGGTTACTGGTAAAAAAAATCTACCCAGGACGAGCACATTATTATTATTATTATTATTATTACTATTATTATTATTATTATTATTATTATTTTTATTGTTATTATTATTATTATTATTATTATTATTATCATTATTATTTTGTTCTTGTCAAGTTTCCCTGTTTTCCATCCATGGTTGGCCGGGTCCTGGGGCGTTATAAGGGAAAAACTTACTTCAGTGATAGTACTTTCCTTGGTATGTGGGATGTATCAAGCATTGTAATTTTCTAGGTTTCACTGGTGCTAATTTTACCCAGGATTCTACTAGTGACCTTGTCTAGCCCCTTCTTAATTAGCTCTAGGGCTCCAACGACCACTGGTATTGTTTCCGTTTTCATATCCCACATTCTAGTGACTCCATTATTATGAGATGTTGTTGATAGATGCCTACGACCAAAAACACACATAATCAGGGGCACCCAACAAGCGTTTTTTTAGGAAATATCTGTTCACAGCTCTCAAGAATACCTAAAATTAACCAACGACTAAAGTTAAATTTTAGTAAGCTGGTTTACTAACTTGGAACAAACGCTGCCGAATCGCCTTCTACAGTTATAGCTAGTTACCAGCACCTTAAAAACGACTTATTGACGGACTCACGGTCAAGCAAAACTGACAAGGACAGCGACCGTTATGATCGTGACTAAAGACGGTTTGAAACGCACCAATCATACGTACAGTCTTCAAAGTCTATAACATCCCGGCTTAACTCACAGACGACCAACAACATTCCAGTGTTACTGACCAAACAGATCAATAACTAGAGTTTAATACCGTCCGCCAACTGAGATACTGCTTGCTTTAACTCTGAAGGTGATTACCACACAGGTTGTCGAAACATCAAGTACTGTCAGCGACAGTCTATTCAGGACTACACTCACCCAGACGATCAAAAACCTACTTATGTTTTACAAAATACTGTTCCAACTCTTCGGCCTTGCAAACTAAGAAAAAACTGTTCTAAAATCGACAAGAATTTTACAGAAAAAGGGCTGCCTTGAATGTGAGCACCACGAAAGCGCACGACCAGCTTGTAACGGCTTGGTACTGTTGGTAACGAAGCTGCAGGGACAGTGTAACTAACCAAATAACTACCGTCACCTCTGTCCTCTATATTTCCTGTGGCCTTCTTGTTACCAGATTCATCTTGAAGTTCCACCATAAACAAGTCGCCACCCAGAATCCGACGACGTTTTTGGGCGTCGTAAGCAATAATAGTAAAGGAGCTCTCCTTTCCTGCAATTGCCGATTCCAATCCGCTACCCTCTGCAATTGTATTTTCTGCACAGGTTGAATCGTCAATAACGCCAACCTCGTTATTGAGCGCGTCCACTAGGTCCTGCAATCTCCTGCGATTAAAGATAAGCTTCGGGACAAACTGGACCTTTGGCTCAAGCAGCATTGATTGGTTTTCTGTGTCCCTAAGTGTCGCCTCTAAAGCGGACTTGGCAACAAGCAGTTCAGCTGCACGAGAGGATCCAATAAGGGAAGAAAAATTCGCTGCACTTTCTTGAAATTTGTGCAGTCGGTCTTGCTGCTCTGCGAGGATGGCTGCCTTGTTATTGTGTAGCTCTTCCAACTTATTCGTCAAAATTTGCTCTTTCGCATTGAGTGCGTCATGCATCTGTAACGCATAACAAACATAACGTCTAAGCAATTATCTTAAAATATCGTAGATCAACATGGCTGGAAGAGAAAGTTTGTTGATTTAAATTCTATTTTCTTGGATGGTATTGTTTTGTATAATTTATTACTATTGGAAGGCACCAAACAGATAACTATTGAAACAGGAATTGAGCAACATGTTAGCAATGGTCCGTGTAAAGAGTGCGAGTAAGATTAGTCATTGCTTCAGCCTTATAAAATCGTTCGTAAAATGCATTGTGGTTTGAAAACGTATAGAAGACTTTGATACTTTTGGGCCTTGAACAAACACCAAAAAGATCAAAAACCGGTTTTTCATAAACGCCCTCGAAAATGGCTTTTTTTAATGGATGTCGATCGTCAGTTTAGTGTGTACGGCCAGGACAAAGGGAAAGCGAAGGTATTCGAAGACGCTGACAGTATTGCTAGTCAAGCAGAACCGGGCCTCGTAGATTTGTACTTCCCGCTGACCTTCCCGCTCTTTTAAGTAAATTGCTATTGCCGGAATTACGGTCCTTTAGAATTTATTGAATAATTAAGCTAATTTTGAATATTTGGCATCGTACTAGATACAGAAATGACAACCCCGGTCATTTCATGCCCTTTAAAGTTATAGGTAATGCTGAGAAGTCTCCGGGATGAAGCCTAATAGAGTCCTGACTTGACTATAGAAACGTGGAGCATCCGAGAAAAAACGATTGGTACCCAGGGAAAAGTATTTGGGTGCTTGTGTGTGTGTGTGTGTGTGTGTGTGGAAGGGGGGGGAGGGGATTGACTTTTCTTTTAATCTTGCAATAAGAAAACTGATATTTGGTTAGCAGGGTCTGTAAAACGAAGGGAAACCTACCTCCTTGAAGAAACTATGAATTTGCGCTTTTTGCTTTTTACGCGGATTTTCCATGTCAAGCATCGCCCACTTCACTTGAGCCTCTGCAGTTTTTATCTCCTCGGAACGAGCGTTAACTTTAGTGGCAAGTTCCAGCATCTCCTGACGACACTTTGACGCAGCGTCAGCAAAGGATGATAATTTGTGACGCTTGTGACTACGGTTGATGCATCCCCTACAAACCATATGATTGCAGGTCTCGTCGAATAAACGGAATGGCTGGCTGTGCTTTGAACAAAACGCAGTTGCAGTGGCTGATTCCAGTGAGAAGAGTGCGTGATGATTCATTACTTTATAGCGAGTGTGAAATTTGGCTGCAACCTTACACATATCTTCGTCGCAGACGATTGCCGGATGCTTATCATCACAACCCTCGCAGCTGAATAAACTTTCACCTTCTTGTTGTTGAGGTGTGACATCCAAGATGCGTAACAATTCAAAATTCTTTGGTAATCCCGCGACTCCAGCTTGAGGTACGTTAACTTCAACTCTGCAAGTGGGACAGGGAATTTTGTCATTTGCAGTGAGCAAGTGCC